AACACACACAAACACACACAAATACACACACATACACACACACTTACACACATGCTGATCATTGGTCCAAGACAGAAATACAATTTTGAAAAGAGAAAAGACGTACAAAAAGATTAGAACGTTCTAGCCTATACTGTTACAAGTAGGCCTATTATTTCTGCTTGCCTGCTTGAGTTAGTATAATAGCATAGGCCCGTCAAAATCAATACAAATATCAGTAAACTAAATCGTATTTTAAACCACAAAAAAACCATTAAAACGAAGAATAAAACCCCCCAAAAAAATCAAAAAATCAAAAAAAATCAAGAAGTCTAGATATTATGGACAACTGGAGAAAAACCCAAACAAACAATAAAAACCTGTAGAATAATAATATATCAGCGTCATCCTATTCCTAATCCTCTGCAGGGCGATTTCGTTTAAAACAATGTAGGCTATAACTCTGAAGAAAAACACGCATTGCCTTCGTTTGTCATAACTTTTGACGAACTCAGTTCATGCCACTAATACATGTATAATGTTTTATTCAAATTGAGCCAATTGGAATAAAGTGTCGCAGTCGTATTTTGAATTTGTCCGTTCTGATTGTAGCTGACAAAGGAGTGCAAATCAAAGCCAAATGAGTCAAAATTCTTGGTACATGAATATCACCTAGCGAAGGAAGCATCAACGAAGACGTCAAATCTAGGGGACATAACCTCAAATTATTGGAACCTTTGTAGTCATATTCTAATTATCTCCCCTGATTAATACATCTTTTTACAGTCTACCAGGTTTCCCCCCCATTTTTTTCACGCCCTTAAATCCGGGCTTTTGAAAAGAAATAATTATATTATTGCGAATTCAAATCTTTTGCAAAATTTCAGATAAGAGAAACTTTTAAAAAAAGGGGTGGGGGGGGGTGCTCTTTGGCCTACCCTAGGCCAGTCCTTATGTAGGTAGTAGTAGAGAGGTTTACTACGGTCTTTAATTAAGTAGACAGCAAAAAAGTGTCTTTGGTGGACAGTCATGGCACCGGGTGGCTCAAATCACGAATTCAAAATGTTGGTGAAAAACAATAGGCCTATGGGCAAACAGCG